TCTTTACCTTAGCAGTAGCTGTGCATTTTTCCACCCCTTTCTGCATACCTGGACACTATTTTTGGTGACCTTGTGTAAGCTGGGTCTCCACATTCACTCGTTCTGCAGTATTTTCATTTGACAGTTTTTCATGGGTGATGTTCTGGTCAGTGTATAGATTGGAATGCTGAGTTCTTCCATATGTGCAAAGTGTCAACTACTTCTGCACCTTGCTACGGACAAATACTCTAGTGTGATCATTGCATCCTGAGCCAGGATGTGGCCAATATACATCCTGTGTCTCTGCTAGTATTTCCCTTGCCTTGAGTCCTATATGTGGAGTGCTGGCCTTATTTTGTTAAATAATATGTACTTTTCTCTGGGAATGTACAATTTATTTTATGTCAGTGGCATGTTTCTGTTCATTGTCCCCCAAATATAAGATGTTAAAGGCTCGGTCACCAGCTGTGGTACTATTGGGAGTCCAGGGGCCTCTGATGGGGCAGCCAGTGGGGAGGAAGTGAGGTCTCTGGAGTCTGTCCTCCAGTGAGTTTCTTGAGCCTCATCATCTTTGTGCTCTTCCTTTCCCTCCCTGGATGCTGTGAGGTTCACAGCTTTCTTTCCTTCTGTGACTGGACATGGTGAACTGCTTTACTATGAGCCCCAAAGCAATGGAACAAATCAGCCCCAGGCTGAAGACTGCAGAACAGTGAGACAAAGTATTCTTTTGCTCCTCATAACTCATTGATTCAGGCATACTTTCACAGGAATTGAAAGTCAGTGAGCTAAATTTTTACTGTAATTTTTGGTGCAGATGACTTGTACAGAATCATCGGCTTCAGTGTGACATTTTCATATATGCATGTAATGTAGTTTGAGTCCATTCACCCTCCCCATTACAGTCTATTACCTCTCCTCCCCATGTCCATGTTCTCCTTCCCTAATGGCTTCCTTTTTACTTTCCTTTCTGGATTTCACATATGAAAGAAAATATAGGATACTTACACTTCCAAGTCTTATTTTTTAATTTTTTTAGCTTATTTTGCCTAACATGATGATCTCTATTTCCATCCATTTTCCTGCAAGTGACATGTTTGCATTCTTTCTTATGGCTGATTAATATTGCATAGTGTATGTGTACTAAATTTTTGTTATCCATTCATCTGTTGATGGGCACCTAAGCTGATTCCATACCATTCTTGTTAAATAATACTGTGATAGTCATGGATACTCATGTATGTCAATTGTGTACCAACACCAGTTCTTTTGGGTACATGCTCAGGATAGGTATAACTGGATGATATTTTAGTTTTGTTTTTATTTTCTTCAGGAACTTCCATAATGATTTCCGTAGTGGTTGTACTCATCTATAGTCCTATCAACAGTGTAGAGGAGTTCCTTTTTTCCACTGTATCCTCTCTGAGCTTTGTTGTACTGTTTTCATGACAATAGCCATTCTAACTGGCTTAACATGAAACCTCAGTGTAGATTCTTTGGGGTCAGTCCATAGTCAGCTGGCCTCAAAGCAGAAACAAGGATGTTGGAGGGGGCTGGCAAAAGAAAGTTGCTCATGTCATGTCAGTGAGGAAACAAAAAGGAGGAGAAGCTGGAGACAAGAACACATCTTCCCTAGTCATGTACCAGTGACCTAACTTTAAACACCATTGTCATCAATGACCTCATTCATGGGCCAATCAAATCATAACAGCCCCATGGTTTAGTTGCATTATGAAGTCCCAACTTTGAACAGAAGACTGTTCTGGGACATTTGAAATCTAAACCACAGCTTCTACCTCTGGCCCTCAAAAGATTTATGAACATCTCATTGTGCAAAATGTATTTAGTCCATGTCTAAGAGTTGCTAATGGCTTAATAGTTCAGAATTGCTGATAACTCCAAGTCCAAAGTCTTCCTCTGAGAATCAGACAAACATTTTACTGTGAGTTCCGGTAAAAATCAAAAGTTG